TTATATTCTTACATCATCTCTGGATTTTTCGTAAATCTTAAAAAGTTTGTAGCATTTGAAACTGTTTCTGTATGATATATTGAGTTCTCATGTGTCTCACAACCATCGGTTTTGCCATACAATTTCGAAAATTTTTTTAGTGGTACGGTAACAAGTTTTCCCAATTTAGTTGATTTATGTACTCCTCCTAATTTTGCAAAAACCACGCAATATTTACGGAAATTCCTTGTAGTTCCTCTGAATATGACAGCCAAGGAAATTTCTCAAAGTGTTTTTTTGATAAGTAACATTTCACTTCTTTATTATTTTCAAGTGGAATATTTGAAAGAGTCATTTGGGATCATTGCACACCTCAATAATGGATATTTTTCATGGGAAGACAAGTTGCCGCTGAAATTTACATATGGCGCAACATCAAGAAAGTTGGATCCTTTAGGTTTCGCACCCGATTGTTCAACACTTGGTTCAGCATACGGTTGCAACATCAATAAATTTTGAAGTGGAAGGCTCAGGTTGAATGTAGGATTATCATCAGTTTTTTGCGGTATTTCTTGTGCCGGTGGTTCAGACAGTTTGTTTTGTTTAGAAGGAACCAATCGATGGTATTCTGTTTCCTTTTACTCATCCTGACAACAGTAGCCGTCAACTAGCACTAAAGGTTATTCAAATATTGTCAAATAATCGGCATTATTGGTTTCCACGCATTCACGTATCTCATAACAAAGAACCTTTTCTGGTTGGAACACAAGATTCTTAAGTTCACGCAATTTCTAAAAACTAAATATATAATTTGCCATCTCGGACGAACGAAATGCACTGAAGTGCTTATATAAGGGACTTCCGAGACAAACTAGACATAGATGATAATGATAGCTGACCAAACACTTCGTAATTGAAATTATATTAAATTCAATTCTTCCGTCTGTCATTTTTTTAGACACGATTCTTTTATAGTATAAAATTAAAAAAAAAAACAAAAATTAATTTTCTGGCTTGTGTGGAAAATAAAAATCAATAGATCATAGAAAATAGGTTAATACCAACCAGAACAACAAAAATCCGCTTGTTCATTTCTCAGCCTAATTTTGTAGCGGACTGGTACAGAATTTAGACACGAGACTAGACCATAAAAGACTAGATTATCCCAACTAACAATTATCACTCCTATTAGAGTTGCAAGAATGATTATACAGTATTCCTTACACAGAATTGTATACTGTAAGAACATTGGCAAAACCCTCTTAGAACAGCTATACAAGCGGAATGGGCACACCTAATAGGACCACTTCAGCCATTTACGAGGTTGTATAAGGGCTGCAAGGTAACAGTTATACAACAAAAGTGTAAGCCTCTTGCAGCCGCTATAGGACATTTGCGTCAGTGCAAGATTCAGTTTTTGTCAACTATACAACTATTCTGTTACGTGATTCTACTTTATTGCAACCAAACTATTTCTTATGTATTGTATAGACGAAGTGAAGAATATATATAACTAACACAATACAGTTATCTTGTTTACTTACATATCGGCCATTGTGATTTTCATACACAGGTTATATGATAAACTTTCTACACTGTGATATAGGGCTATTGAATTACTTGCGCAGCAAATTTTATTGTGGATTATCGTGCAAAGTAGTTACGCAATTTCTACGGGCTTCTTATTTGATTCATATTTTGATAATGATCAAAAGTATGTCTAGATTTTTAAGATGGAAACTGAACTTATCTGCGTTAAATCTTCCACAAATCCTATATTTAGACACAATTACACTAATGTTTATCACTTTATATCTGTAATTTCGAACTGAAATATAATTATTTAATATCAAATAGAGGAATAAATGTGTGCCCAATATGGCGGGTGGTTGTGTATAATCATGGCATCGTCCATGTTGTCTTTCGTTTATTAGAATATTTGGTGTTGCCTGCAGGTGTTATAAAACAATTTGACAAATGTCAGAAATGAAATACCCACACAGTCTAATGATTTACCTAGAATTTGTACCAGATCTATATCTTCTGTTTGAACAGTTGATAAAATCTTTTAACCAATATGCATGCGTTGTTTGTCTTAAAACATTGGTTATGGTATTTTAACAAAAATATGACAGCAGAAAGTTAGGTTATGGTGAAGTTGTATACCAACATATTTAGCATATGTACAGCCTTTAACAGTTACTAAACAACAGTTGTATAAGTGCTTCCCTTGGGAGCAATTTGTTGGCTAAAGTAGTAAATGTCCACAGCAAAACAACAAGGCTCGGGTTTGTTTTATAAACGTTACCATGGATGCCACAACACAAACACAACCATTTTGACTAACCTGCAAATATGCCGTATAAAATAGTTTTATACACGTTTATGCAACAGTTTGAAAATTTGTCCTATAAGGTGTTGTGTAACTATGCTATAAGAATATTTTAAATAGCTCATTTTAGAGCAAATATGTTGCAGAAAGCAGGTTTGCATTCCACACAACATTAAGCCTGCATTTTGGTGTTCAGGCAACAACAATAGAGAGCTTTTATGGCTGAACGGTTCTTTTACCAAAAGTTTATAGCACTACTTTGCTAGTTGGGATACCTGTTCCAACAGGAAGAAGCGCACACCGTTGCTGTTAGTGGGAGAGTAGTCGCTAGTGGTATGCGCACTGAGCGGGTTGGCAGTGTTGCCGCTATCCTTTCTTAAAGTTACAGATTTTTTTATAAGACGTTTACTTTATACCACCTTTCAAAGAGTGCTCGAGTCGTCTGGGGGGGGGCAATTACCCTCGTTAACCCCCGTGGGAGCGCCAGTGCATAGTAGGCACGATCATCGTGCAAGCATCCACACAAGCGTCTGTAGAAGTTTGTCAAACGGCAAGCATCAATATGACACGGCGATTCCCTTTGATGCGTGTCTGAAAAACAGACAATTCACGGGTCGAAAGCGATCATTGACAATGCTCGGCGAGTACAGCCTCTATAGAGGGCAGGGTAGATACGATCGTGCTCGCGCGTAATCGTTTGTAAGCGCCGATTGTGAAGAGGAGCCATTATACGGACATCCCTCTTGAACGGACACTTTCAGTCGGTCCCGTTCACTAACCAAAGGAGGTTTCACTGGATATCTGGGAATGAGAAATGAAATAGGAGAAAAAATGTTGATTTTCCTAAAAAATAGAACTATAGAACTGTCTAATAGATTTGGGTGAAAACGTGTCTCCGGAGGAAATTAGATATGCAAATTCTGAATCCGACGTCAATTTGATACTAGGATAGATAGTCTCAAGCGAGCAATTTTATACCCCAATACGGTCAACATTTTGTTTAAGATCATTTTCGAATTCAGCCCCCAAATAACCTAGGTGGACCAAGTTTCATTCATTGTGACAATGCGAAAACCTGTCATAGATTGAAAAACAAGTATTGAAAATGAACGAAAATTATTACCTATTTAAAGTTTATACCTTGAACAATAAAGTTGGCCATTTAATCAGAACTTTACTTACGTTACACTGTCATGGTACATTAAATTTTTGGTGTATAATTCGACACTATTATTTAACTGAAAAGCTTTTCCGTATCATTCGTTGTGTTGTGTGTTGAAAATATCCGACCATCTCAATATGGATAATAATAAAGAGAAGACGAACCTTCATTTGGTGTAACAGAAATTCGTCATTACTGTTGTTATCGGATTGCTATTTTTGCTTCACATTTTTATCAGAGAGGATCTTAATAAGATTTATTTCACTCTTTGGCCCAATAACTAAGGTGTATGATCCTTGAAGTACTGACAGATAAAATCTAGTGCTAACTTCTGCAAACTATTGAGACATTTTACCGTATAATGGCAGGTGGTCGCAAAACGATTGTTCAACTCTTTCAAATCTGTCCTTCGAGAGGTCACAAAATACCTTTCAAATGCCTTACTAGAGACAAACTGATTGTGATTTGGACTGAATGACCGCGAAAACCTATATGCCACGGGTCTCAGCTCGAATGCTAGACTTATTTTGTATCTGTCCTTGAAATGACCTTCAGATATTCTTATAGTGATTCAGACTTAATAACTAGAAAAATCTAAATTACACGTGGTTGGGATCAACTGCTCGGGTTCTTTTAAAAATGTTCTTGATATGTATTTGAAGTGCCTTCATAGCAAAAGCTAGCCTCAGAATTTCAAATATAGGGCTAGCGTCGCTGATTTCAATCAGCGACATAAAAACTCTTTTTTTGGGTAAATCCGATGAGTAAATTCCGAATATGATGTCAATTTGGTGCTCTTACCCGTGGTTTCCAAAAGACCCATTCCCTACCCCTTATTGGACGCCACGATATTACGATTTTATGATTATTCATTTGCAACGAAAACATTTTTATTTTTGCCCTACAAAACGAATATGTATAATATTTTGAGGTTTCCTTTATGAAGCTTTATATCTTGGTGTCACCCCCCGCTCTTCAATTGTCTCAAGAGCATTTGCTCTCAGAAACGATGATGCATGCAACTGCAGCCGCCACCCCCTACTCTTCCATTTTTAATCGCTGATAACACTTCTTCCCGAGGGACTCGAAACATCGTCCTCAACATGAATGCTGTGTTCCTTACTAAACCCGAAATCCTCCTTTGGCGTAAGAAGATTTGAGTGGGAAGTTATAGGATAGGATAAGCCTGTTGGGAATTTTCCTAGAAGTATCTATACTTAAGTCGAACTCCTCTAGCATTATATCTTATCTTACCTGGACAGTTCTTGCAAGAATAATGGCACCGCTGGCAACCGTATACCGTTTTGTAGTATCCTTCCGGGCAATCTGGCCTGCATTCGCCTGCTAAAAGTTGCCATCCGGTGGGACAGGAGACGCACTGATCTCGACCTGGACCGCTGCAAGTGCGACAGCTCATGTAGCACCGCTGACAGGCTCCTTTGTCGCTGTAGTAGCCGTTTGCACATGCTGACAGGCATTCACCGCTCTGGAGCTGAAAACAAAGTAGTGGCGTATGAAAGGTGTCCCACGTGAAACTGCAGTGATCGGTTACTCGAAAATTTGACGTTAGACAATCATGAAAACTTGAGTTATGGTATACCTGAATATTTCGGCTAAGATATTATCAAAATGATGGTGACACCTCGGGGTTGTACCGGAAATTAACACTAACTTGTTTATTTTAAATGAAACATCCTGTGTATATTGTTAAATTTCTGAAATCTCGCAGGATTTTAAATGAATTTCATCCTATATCTAACCGTTTTTGACAAATTGTAAAAAAAATTCATATCCAGGTTCATAAAGGCCTATCAATTTTTCGTATATTTCTGCCTTTGTCAAATGATTTTTAACTGCTTTCTTATAGAATGGGGTCTAGTTTGAGTAGCCTTCATCAGATATTTTGATAATATTGCAGGGTGGGGAACCTGAATGGTTCATGTGAAGAAATGCATACAAAATTCATCATATGAAACGTTACTACAAAAGTGGAAATTACACTATTATCTTTTGTAAATATCGCCTAAAAACTCATAATTCTCCAGTTTTTATCGTATTGGCATGCTCGGTATGGATGAAAAGTGTGTACTGCCGATCGATTCCGTTGTATAGTCTTTTTCACAAGTATCCATTACGATAGAATTAAACCTGATTCTCTAGTAATATTTCAAAATTCCCCATATCGGCAAAGGACACATAATTCTGACGGATCCGCCAGTGCCAGGTAGACAGAGCCATATTTTGTTTGGTTTTTTTGTACGCTAAAATCTCTTTTATTCAGAAAAGTTCATTTGCATTCAAAAACAAAACGATACAAACAAAACTGTTACTAGATTTACACCCGTTTCATTATTGCCAACGTTGCAGACTAACACAAAACGTCACTTGCTGATCAGCTGTTCACCTCGGTAGACGTCAGACATCAATGGATACTCGTGAAATAGGGTATATCAGCGTGATATAAAATATTTTTATCTTCGACTCTCGAGCTAGTTGTACCTTGAAAAGCATGGTATAGTTGTAGTCACCGTTCTTGGTGGTTACGTCATCAACGCTATATGAAATAAGTAAATAGATCGAGCCTCGGTACCATGGGCGGAACACTGCGCAGACTAATCTTGAGCGCATCTGCTACTCTTACGTAACGACGTTTTCGAGACGGAGACACACAACTAAAAAACGTATGTCTTTGAGCTTACCGAACAAACGTGCACACACAGGGGTAGGTTGCATGTGTATATATGAGGAAGATAGAGATATATATAAAGGGATACTGGTAGTCTTACTTTGACCCGTCAAGAACGGTGACTACAAATATAGCTGCATTCATATCTTGAGGGACCATAAACATATTATGAGGGACTTTTACCTGTAGCCCAGTCCTACACTCGGTACAATTCGTCTTTGATAGACACCTAGAGCACGTGTGCAAGCATGGTTCGCACAGTTGACTCTCCCTGCCGCTGTAGTATCCTTTATCACACTTCCCCACGCATTTGGTGCCCTGCAGGATCAAAGGGCTGGCGCACGAGAGGCAGGCCTTTTCTGTTGGTCCATCGCAACTGTCGCAAGTAGAATGGCAGGGCTTGCACAGTCCACTGTCGTAATACTGGTCTGGAAAGTATTAGGAGAGTTTTGTAGATTAAGAGTCCATGGATGTATTCGTACTTTTAAGGTCTCTCTGAACGAGCAATATTTATGTTGCAATAACTGGTAACTACGTAGCCCAACCATAATGACTATATTCTCCGATTCACATATTCTATCTGACATAATACTACATTTCAATGTAAAAAAATTGTACGAAATGAAATGAGAGACCATGGCGTCATTTCTGACAATACGTCACATCTTTCTCCTCTCCACAATAATTAGAAATATACTTTAAAAAGGTTAGGCTCTCATACATGACGCCATGCTCATATATGTTCATATAACCCGTATCCCTACTGAGCGGGGACGTGACAAAAGCTTGTTCCGGAAGTTGTTGTATCCAGTATACTACGTACTTCACGTTCAAGTGATTGTACACGCGTTAAGGAATACCTCAGTACCGATTGCCGGGTGGCGGTACAAGTCCGCCAACGGGCCAGGTTAGGTCTATCTTATGTCATTAACACGAAAAAAGAAGGTGATAGACAAGGACCAGTCGCCCGAGGCGATACCACCCGCTAGCATTTTCTTATAAATGTCCGCATGTTTCCACACCTAAGCTATGCAGTCGGTTATCTTCCAAAACAAAGAAATTAATGATGATGGATCCCTCGAGTACTACGAATTCCGGACGTAAACTCACTCCACTCTCGGAATGTCCGGATGGAGGGTGGGCTCGAGGAACAACATCGAATATAAAATTTGTTTTACGAAAATCTGCGATTAACAGCAACATTGATGCTGTTCATCACTACCTGCAATCCAATAGTCCCGCCATGCTTTTCTTGGCGGAGACATAAATCTCAGAGTCTGCACCGATTAACCATCTGAACTTTAAAAATTACGAGGTGCACTCCAATCTGAGAAAGAACAGGGGAGTTGTGGCTTTTGTCCGCAGCAGTCTTTCCTGTTCCAGAGATGTTTCTTTGGAATCAGACCGGAAGGCCATTCTGTGGCTTCGCCTCAACTCCAAAACATCACCCAAATTTATTTGCTGCCTTCATCGCTCTCCCTCGGACCTCGGACCATAACTGGGATGACCTACTTGAACCCCTTGCCGTTAAGATCGATCTTCTGAACATCAATCACCCCGCTTCAGAGGTAGTTCTTCTCGGTGATTTCAATGCCCATAATCAGCTTTGATTGGACTCAAACAAGACTGATGCAGCAGGTCGTGCAGTCGAAGCGTTCGCGCTTACTCAAGGGCTGACCCAGCTGGCATGAGCACTACTTTTTCCCCCGCGTCTCGTAACATGCCAGTAGCCTGCTGGATCTCTTTCTGACCAGGCATCCTGTTCCTTACAGCACTGCTGTCCTGTCCCCCCTAGGTAACTCAGACCACGGTGTTGTGAAGGTTAGGCTTCGGTCAAAACACGCTGTGGCATCAGAAACTCGCACAGGCCGCGAAACTTGGCATTACGGACATGCCGACTGGGAGCGGCTCAGAGAATCCTTCTCTAATTTTCCTGTTTCACTAACGCGGATGCGACGGGTGTCTGTTCTTCGATAACAGAAATTATCCACGTCGGAATGGAAGAATACATCCCTCACACAGTGAAAGTGCCAGCAGAAGATCAAGGCATACAAAACCTTCTTACAAAACCCCACTGTAGAGAACAGATAAGCCGACGTCGAGTCCAGAAACAAATGTAACGAAGCGGTTCGCAATGCCAAAAACCAGCACGATATAAAAGTTAAGCTCAGGGTAATGTCACAGCGCTATGGCGGTCGGTCTTTCTGGACGCTGGCCAAGCAGATTGAAAAGGACTTCTCACACAGTAGCCTTCCACCATGGAACGATTGTATGGCCAAGGTGGAAATGCTTGCCAAGATCTTTGATGCCAACTCCACCATGGACGCCCAAGTGAAGTCAATTCAAAGGGGGAGGTAACATTCAGGGATAAGACCGTAAGACGTGTACTCTTGTCGCTCGACATGAACAAATCTTCTGGTTCGGACTTGATTCCTGCCATTGTACTGAAGAGGTGTGCAGCGGAGCTTGCTCCAGTTCTTTCGCGTATCTTCCAGATATCTTTTGAATCCGGCACCTTCCCAGAAAACTGGAAAATTGCTCATGTCTAACCCATCCCAAAAAAGGGATCTAAGACCGACCCTTACAACTACAGGGCTATAGCTCCGCTTTCTGTTATAAGTAAGGTTTTAGAGAGGTGCATAAATCGCAAGCTTCTGGACTACCTCGAACGTCACAGCTTGATTAGCGACAATCAGTATGGTTTCAGGTACCAACGATCCACATTGGACCTCCTAGCCTACGTCACGCAATTGTGGAGTAAACTCATCCAGTCTTATGGTGAGGCTCATGTCGTTGCTCTTGACATCACGAAAGCGTTCGATCAGCTGTGGCACGCTGCCCTCTTAAGCAAACTTCCATCGTATGGCCTCCCAGAAAATCTTTGCAGATAAGTGCCTGACTTTATCTCTGGCCGCAAGATATCCGTTGTAATTGACGGGTTCTTCTCTTCATCCCACAACGTCGACGCGGGTGTTCCCCAGGGATCGGTCTTGGCTCCGACACTGTTCCTCTTACATATCAACGACCTCCTCTCCTGTACGATCAACCCAATCCACAGCTTCGCTGATGACAGCACTCTACATGCAGGAATTAAGAGTGACAAGCCGATCTTTGCCGCTGAGCTGGAAAAAAGAAGAGTAGTGGCGACTTCCTCTCTGACAAGAGACCTGGAGGCTATCACTGCTTGGGGACGCAACAAGCTTGTACAGTTTAATGCTTCCAAAACACAGTACTGTACGAACAAAAAGCGTCCTAGCGCTCATCCGGTTTCGTGGATGGCCGAGTTCTGCCAAAGAGCCATTCGTTTCGTGCTAGTTGGAGTCCAGATCACCAAGGACCTGATCTGGCACGAACACATCTCGTCAATATACGGCAGCTGGTGGGAAAAAGCTAGGCTATTGGTTTAGGGCTAAGAAGTACTTTTCTCGGCATGACCTGCTCACTCTATAGAAGGCCCAGATAAGGCCTAACCTCGAGTATTGCTCACACGTTTGGGGTACTGTCGCCCTGACTACATTATTTATGCTCGATGCAGCCCAAAGGAGGGTGGTCGGACTGATCGATGACTCTTCCCCAAGAGACAGTCTCGGGACTCTTTCGCACTGGCGGGCCGTCGGCGAACTAGCTCTTTTTTACCGCTACACCAACGGGCTTTGCTCCTAAGAGCTCTCTTCCATGATGCCGCCGCGCGATGTGCCTGCCAGACAGACCCGCCTGACTTTGGCGTCCCATTCTGACCGTATCGAACTTCGTACATCCAGAACTGGGCGATACGACCTCTCCTTTGTCCCGAGGGTGTCGAGGTTGTGGAACAATTTACAAGAGGAAGCTTTTCCCACTTCTACTAACCTTAGGCAGTTCAAAAATCGTATTAACACAATTTGTTTGGGATCATAGCAGCCGCGGTGTTCCGGCATTCAGGCTTCTGCCTGCGCGGCTGCTTCGATATATATATATATATATATATATATATATATATATATATGTATATGAGAAGTAGTCATTGCCAAAGCCAACGACTAGTTGGGTACAAAATACAATTACTTGTTAATTGGGAAATTGGAAAAACTTTTAGGCTAAAGTTGACTCTTTTGACGATAAAATCAAGCTTTCGGCATTCTCTATGGAGCCATCATCAGGATTCTGAAAACACAATTGTGATGCAAATAAAGAAGACAGATTTAAAATGTCAGACAACTTACTCGTCGGTGAGGTTGCAGCCACAAGGTGTTTCAGAAAGAACGTAGAGAAGATCGAACTTGTGTTCAGTATAAAAACAAAAGAACGGGGCTTTAACAAGCCCAATGTATATATATATATAAATGGCTCTTAAGCCAATTTATGAGACACTAAGCTTTTTAAAGCAGATTTATGACTATTGCTGTGACAAATTCTCAAAGATTACGCCAAGGTATCTCATTTCACTCGGATAATGTTTGAAGAACATGTGAATCAATGCTACGAGGACTGTTCGTAAAATAAGTTTTCCACATTTTTTTCAGGCACAAGTAACTTTTTATTTGAAAAAACGAATTTACCATTGGAAACGTTGAGCTATTTTTCTACATAGTTGCCATTCTTTCTACGCATTTTTTTTTTGATGTGGACCTGCTCCTTGCAACTCCTCGAACCGTTGACCGCGTAGGTGCTCCTTCAATTTTGGAAACGCTGTCATGGCTGTAAGGGGGATGGGCAATGACTTTCCAGGCAAATCGCTCGATTCAGTCCTTCGTTTATTGTGAGACATGAGGATGCGCATTGTCGTGGTATAGTATTTGGAGGGTTTTCCCCTACGATGATTTTGGATTGCCCGTATCAGCTTCTTCGAAGTCTCAGGAATTTCAACCGCTTATTTCCGGATCGTTATTCGCCGATCTTCGAGCAAGATTTGCTCAATCTTCGCCTTAACCTCCTCGGATATCGACGGCCTCCCGTTTCGTTGTTCATCGTGAATGTCCTTGCGGCCGCCAAGAAAACTCTCTTCACCACAAACACGACGATGTTGTCAGATTTCGCCTAGCATCACGCGCACCAAAGTTACGGCGTTGGCAACCCTATTTTTGAGACAACCCTCGCATATTGCAGCAGCTGGCGCTGCTATATGTATATTGCTCAGCAATATTGTTCGCAAGACATATGTAGATAATATACTCTTGTGAGAGTGTCTCGTCAGAAGAGCCACAAAATCGGACAATTTTGACTGATGAATTGAAGTAGGGTTCTACTAGTTCAGCACTCTGAGTGTAATATTGCAAATGTAAAACATGTGAGACTATGTATCCGGGCCACACTAAACATATTACCTCATGCTATTGGCTACTGTGTTGCAGCTGGGTAATGCAGTATAAATATTGTTGGTTTGGAAACGCCTTTATTGATGAATGAGCCATGAATAGAGTATTACGTATACAGCGTGTTTGTCAGGTTGATTGTGTGGACAGGATTATCTGAAAGCAGGAGCTTCTTTTAGAGTATGTCGAGTACGTCAATATCCTTGCATCGCGGTAATCATGCAACAAACGTGTGTTTTAGAATGGAGCTGTTCAACCAAAAGTTGCTTCACTTTATACTCTGGATGTTTAGTTTGATAGTTCGATGACGGTTAACGATATGCTGCTTATGTTTACCGAATTTAATTTTGGTTGGCAGAATAAAGCAAATTAAAAGAAGCTATAGCTTATGGTAGCGACCGTTCTGACCAGTGGCCAGTAGCTTGCTCATGAGCGGTGGCATATCAAAAGTTGTCACAGTTCACTCAGTTCACAAATAGTGGGTAAAAATCGGGGTAAATATTTCTCACAAAAGAAACAAAAATGAGATAGTTGCGTAGCCACTATTAAAATATATGCAGTTTAAAAACTGATAAATCACTTACGTCCCAATGCATGAGGGAGGAAAACACTGTGATCGCAGAAAAATAGGACCGTAAATAACAGGTTCTTATATCCATATTACTCATTTCCGTTGCCCGTCTGTGTGTTGGGGATATATTACTATCGTAATCTCGGAAATAGCTGCACCGATTTTAATAGAATACGATGCGGTGTCATATGGCATTAGTTCTCAAACTTTGTTTTTATATGTTTCGTAACTTTCTGGACATTTTTGGACGTAAATGAAAATTTTTTGGAGAGATTGCAATTTTGAAAAGTTTCTAAACTTGCTTTTGCTGTTTCTGTTCACCTTAGGTTGAACGATAGTAAAAAATGTAATTATGGAGGTCAAAAATCTCAACCTATACCAAAGCTTATTTTTGACTTACATATAAGAAACATTGTTATCAAACAGTATTTGTTTATCAAGGATTGTCTATTTGTAGGATGGAAATTTTGAAAATCGGCATTTGTGGATAATATGCAGGAAATACCGACTCAATATATTTAACACTATTTTTTCATAAAATTTATGTAATAAGTTATTCAAAATTTGAGGCGATTTTAGTGTTTCGTGATTTTACTAAGTCATACAGTTGGTCCATAAAGGTCCTAAGGCATTTAGTAACTTTTAATTTGGAAGTGTTTTTCCAGCTGGTGCTGTTTAAGCGCTTCAGAATTTATAGTGTGGCGTACGGCTTAAAAACTTGCGTGACATTGTGGATAGCACTTTATAAATTTTTCATTGCACAGTCGGTGCCTCGTATCATGGATACGGCCGATAGGGCGGTTACTACGCCTATCGTTCTGACTAAAAGCAACAGCGACCTTAACCTGACCGCAACGACTCGGCATGTGTATACAAATAATATAAAACCCGCCACTCACGATCCAACGCCGCAGTACGATTTTAAGTCGGTATGATTTGACCGCAGACAAACAAGTCAGTCTGCAGCAGTACAACACTGTTGGTTGGATCGTTCATTTGATCGTGTATTGCGACGTGCGATTCCATTGTATGATTTCGGTTCGGCAAACAGCAAAACATACGTAAAAAAACCTAAATTTGGTACATTTTAATAATATGGTCTTTCTCTGTCTACGCTTATTTATAGAAATGCCTTACAATGAGAATTTTTTGAATTATATAAAAAGCAAGAATGACTTTGGAACGCCGTATGCCGTTTAAGAAACCAATTTTTACACCACCATCTACGTTTCTTATTTTTCCTTTTACTTTCAGTAATACCAAATGCAAGAGCCGACAAAACTAGATTTTCATCGGCCATGTTTCAAATCAAAACTCATACTGCAAGATCGTTACACGTGTGCCCTTGTCCAATTTTCGACAAAGTCGTACAGCAATCGCATTCGACAAAATCGTACTGCGACGTTGGATCGTAAGTGGTGGGCTCAAATGTTTTCGTCACAGCACTGGCCAGCCGACAAGTTGCTGACACTCCCGTCGCTAGTCGATTTGGAGTAAATGAAAGATGTAATGTGTGAATGGCCTAGTCCATAGTGATAATTCCGCTAACGTCCCGATCGTATCCTGAAAAAATCGTTGCTAATTCGATGAAAATACTTCTCTATTGCATTTTTTTTAAGCGATTCAGTTGGAGTAGCAGTGCTGGAAGCTAAATTAATCGGATCGCACATTACAGGTACTTTGCTTTCCATCAAAAGCTGCATTAGTTCAAAACGATTCTTCTCCTTGAGCTGTATCTTGATAATTACAATTTACAGGAGTAGAGTCGCCTCCAGGTTGGCATGTTGATGCCTGTTTGTTTTTCTGTGATCTTGTTTCAAGTCTAACCTTTTTGTTATTAAGGTTTCTGTAGCAGTAACTATTACGAATATAATTCAGATGAGGAGCCATTTGTACTAACGTCGGTGATCTGGTGATTGTGGTGTGGCAATTTCTGTTTCCGGAAGATGTCAGAAATTAGAAATCAGTATTTTAGACGCGTACGGTCGAATCCAATAAAATTTAGTGGAAGATCTAGCTTCTAGGTCATTTTTTTACATTTCAGTCCAGTTGTCTAGGTCAGTGGTCGCCATCCTTTTCAGTGTGTGCTACTTTGATAATTTTGGAATAAACAGTGAGCTACCTAGTCGTAAGCAATGTAAGCCAACTTAAATGAAATTATACATAGTTGTATGCGACATACATGTGTTTATTTTACTAAAACTAATACATACTAATAAACAAACTAATAAAATTAATACATACTACATAACTACATCCATTCCTACCAATCGTAGGTGTTTGCAAAATAAACAAAATATTTCGTCAGCTAAAACGGCATGTCACATACGATTTAATAAAGGTAATTAAACACTCAGACTCACTGACAATTTTTTTAATGTTTGGAGTATAATTTGATACCGTCATTCGAATACAATTATCCAAATGTTCATCTGTAAGTCGATTACGGTATTTGTTTTTAATAAACTTCATATTTGAAAAAGAATATTAACACAAATAGGTTGAACTAGATAACCCTTTCACTTTCAAAGCAACATGACATAAAACTGAATATTTATCTTTACTTACGGAAGGCCAGATACATTTTATGCTTGAGACTAATGATTTTAAAGCTAAATCATTTTGAAACGCAATCAGTTCTATTTCTGTCGCAGCGATGTCTTCGCTAAAATTCTGCGAAACAGAAGTTGCAAACTGTTGGATATCCATTTCCATGAAGGGTGAAACAACAAATTGCGCCACTATAGCAATTTCGTTGAAATCCTTGAAACGATTTTTGAAGTTATCCTTCAAGTTAGAGACAATTTCTACATGATATTTACTGTCATATGGTTCTAATGGACTTTGAGATATCTTTCCTGAAAGAACAGGAAAATGCCTGGTATCACCATCGATTAAGTTTTGCTCCCAAAACTCAAGCTTTTTGATAAACGCTTTGATATCATAAAATCATTTCTGCTAGTTCTTTGTGCCTCCTCTGAAGCTGCAAATTAAGTTCATTTATTTTTTCTGTAATATCCACAAGAAAACCAAAATCTCCAAGCCAGTTTGAATTTTTCAGTTCCGGAATCGGTTCATCACGTTTAGTTGTTTGAAAAATTGAACTATGGCAGATATGATATCATTAAAACGTTTTTGACAGTCAGTTTCATCGGCCAGGGTTTTGAATAATCTTTGTAATGCTTGAGCTCTAATATTGTTCACAATTTTTACTACCAATTTCATAACGTTGTTTAGTTTTAGAAAATGTCCACATAATGCTTGCTGATGGATACTGCAGAGACCCATATCACGACCCACAATAGCTGGAGCGCCAACGGTTGTCAAGCCTACCACTTTCGATATTTGAATTTTCTCAGAAGAAATGATATTTTAAAAGAAGAAAAGAAGTCCTCCCCAGTAGTCTGACCTTTTAGTGAAATAAATTCAAAAGATCTTTAATCGTACAATCACTAAAAACCATCCTGCCATCTGAGAGTCAACGACATCTGTAGATTTATCCGACTACAGTGAAAAATAAGCACAGTTATCGAAGTCATTTCTTAACTGTAAAACTATATCATTGCTCATTACTTCTACTCGTCTCATCACTATATTAGCATAGATTTTATAAAAGACACTAACTCGTCTTTATTTCTAAAGTGGCCTGGTTTATCATTTCCCCGGCTTTATAAGGTTTCTTCTTTCGTGTAATTATCTGTGACACCTGGTATGATGCTTCACTTGCAGCCTTACTTTTGTCGATTGTTTTTAAAAACATTGCCTGTTGTCCAATTAACTGATGTTTTAATTGTTTTCGTTCTGGTTGCAGATCGCAATGGGAATGATTTTTCAAAATTCGAATGTACAGTTTTATAGTGCCTCTCGATATTCCCTTTTTTTAGCAACGGAAACAGATGTATTACAAAGCAAACATACATTTTTATCTCTAGCTTCTGTAAATAAATATTGTTTTTCCCATTCCGAATGGAAATGGTATGCCTTCATCTTCTTACTACTACTGCTCATAATGTCTTTAATTGCAGGCCAACCGCTGGATTTTGTGCCGTTCAGTTTTAAACTGAGCGCACTGTCGCCGTGCCTTGCGTATTTATTCCGTTCACAGTAAGCGAGATCGTTCTCGAACAGATCGCTCACTGCAGTGTTGCCGCTGCTTCTGTTTATTATGAGAAATTACACAATTTACGGAAGCTTCTATGATTTTTACACCTTTTTAAATATGTTGTGAGCCACCAGAATTGCTTTTGTGAGCTACCGGTAGCTTCCGATCAAGGGGTGGCGACCACTGGTCTAGGTGAATACGTATAAATATGTATTTTCAACATATTTATTATAACTATCCGTTTCTAAAAACTATTGCTTAATGATAACAGATAAGGTCGGTTCATGCTTTTAAAATGTAGCCTGACAGGCTGATGAATGCTACAAGGTGCCCAATCTCTTTTCATTTATAGTTGTGACCTGTTGTAAAATATAACTGCCTATGGGAAACAGCAGGGAATTTCATAGCTCATTAACAATCTGCTATTTGAAAATCGTCGTTTACGTGTTTCACAAATTAGTAGCCTTCTCACTGACAGACACGGTGTATAAGCGCCGACTTCACCGTCTCCAGATACTTCTAGTTGGCATTAAAATGGATACAACCCAAATGGTGTTCACTGGAGGTGGTGAAATCAGCCCTAAGCCAGATGAAATCATCTGAATTCATGTAGCTGGGCAAAATAAGTACTCACCAACGTCGCACTTATCACTAGTCTCTGCGACACACCGCCCTTTCGAATTTACCTTCCAGTCGTCCAAGCATGAGAGGCACGTAGTGCGATTGCACTCGCCGCACCCTGGCGGACACTCGACGCACTCCCCGTGGCGTCGATCTGCAAATGGTGGGCGGGGCAATCGC